CCATTAAAGAAAGGAAGTAAAAGGAGGACGGGAGGACATTTGTCTCAGGACTGTCTGCCTTGGGGTCAGAAGAGCCATAGCAGGAGGGAAGCTGCTACTGGCGGGGACATCAAGAAGAGTTTCCATTCTGGCTCCACCCTGCATTTTTGGACTCTGTCCCACGTATAGTGAGTTCACATACAGCCCCAGTGGTAGCAACCAGAATTGAATGTAAGAGAGAGCAACTGCCAAAGAAAGAGCAAAGGATTCTGGGGTCATCTTGCTACTTCATGGGCTACATGACAAGCCAAAGGCAGAGGAAGAGTAGCAACCAAAAAAATGGCTCTGAAGGGTGCAACCCAAGAATACATCCACCTGGGACCTGCAGCCAAACCCTGAGCATCTTGTCTCCTGATTTTTAATGCCTTTGTGATGCAAATAAAACAAAAACGGCTGTAGATTTTAAATACACAACTTGATGAGTTTGGAGATAAGCATATACCTGTGAAACCAGAACCACACACTGTGCCAGCAACATATTCATAGCCTCCAAAAGCTTTCTCCCACCTGCTTTATTTTCAGAAGTAAAAAAGCTTACATAAAGGCTGGGGGTGTAGCTTAGTGGTACAATAGTCACCTAAACATCCTGAAACCCCAGGTTCAATTCCAATCGCCACAAAAAGCAAGGAAGAAAAACAAAAAGAGTGAGAAAGAGGGAGGAAGTAAGTTAGTTTACATAAGATCAACCCTCTTAGCAAAATACCATGTAGCCAACACAACATTGTTGACGCTAGGCACCATACTACACTGTTGGAACTAATTGAGTCCTGGCTTTCAGCTGCTCTTCCCTGTCTAGAGTCTTCTAATTGAAGTTACTAAAAGCTGTGCTTTGCCTAGAGGATCAGAGGATGGGATTTTCACCTGTTGGCCATTGACTGCAGGGTATTTAAGCCTCCATGGTGCTATTAAAGAGGGGCTTTTGGTACCAGTGATGGAGAGTCTGTGCGTCGGTCTGTCTCTGAGTGTGCATTCTCAACCTCCAGCCCTTGCCCGAAGCTCGCAAACTGGGTTCTAGCGCATAGAGCGCAGACGGGGGCCGCAGTGTGCGGCACTACACAGTAGATATAGGACTTACTGGTTTTACATGACTGAAACTTTGTACCCTTTGACTAGGACATCCAGCTCCTCTTCCCCGCATGAGCCCAAATGAGATTACACTAAGTGAAATAACCAGATGGCAAGGAGGACGCTTTGAAACCACCTCTGTGTTGCACCTAATGCAGGGAAGAGTGAAATTGATGAGTCTCCATCATCACTTGCTCTCAGCTACAGATAGGAGAAGAGCCAGGCTTCTCGCAGTTCTCCTGGCCGGGCCCCGCGGAGAGCTCAGACAGCTCTTATGCCCTTGCGCCTCCTCCATGACCTTTCACAGACTCACCCATGCACTACCTTCCACTCCCCATCCCAAACCCAGCAGAGCATGTGGAAAGTTGATTCTGGTGCACACCCATTTCCAGATCACTGTAGAATGGGTCTTCCATTTGTTTAATAGGATATCCCCTCAACGTTCCAGGAGAACACTTGCCCTTATTTCTCAGCCTAGAATCACTTTCCTTGTACTATCCACAAGAAAATTTCAATTTTTTTCTCATTTACCCATTACAAAAGCTATTATGTGTACTTTCAGTATATATATTTACATACTACTCCTTAGATTCATCTTAAATATTTTTTTTAACAATATCCATTACAATCGAAGAGTACTTTTCACATTTTCCTGTTATAGATACTTAACTACCTGAAAAGCATACCTGTGAAAGTATGTCTTCCATGAACAAATAATTCACACTGATGTGTCCTGTCTAGTTAGGGAACTGAAAAGCATCAGAGCTCCAGACCCAAGTTTCACTAAGTATCATGATATGAAAACCTGCTTTCAAGATTTGATGTCTGGGAGCTGATGAGATGGCTCAGTGGGCCCAGTACCCAGCACCCACATTGGGGGTTAACAGTGGTCTGTAACTCCAATTCCAGGGAATATGACACCCTCTTCTGTGAGTAGGCACTTCATGCATGTGGTGTACAGACAGCTGCACAGTCAACCCACCTATACACTTAAAATATAAATAATATTTTTAAATGCTATAAAATGTGCTTAATACTTTGTAATTATTAAATATTTAAATATTGACTTAAAACTTTAAAAAGCAGCTGTTTTGTTTTGCAATGCTTTTATGTTCTCCAATAAAGAGATGAAAGATACGTTTTCAGACTGTGATGGACAAGCTTGTCTCTATAGTTACACTGGCCAGTCAGTAGGTTCAAAAGCCTGAAAGAATAGAGGGTCATTATAATCATTATTATATTTTTCCTCTGTCTTTTGACATTCTAAAGAACTTTAGACAAGTAATTACTGAGTGCATTTGGGTTGAATGAACACAATGGATACAGTGAAGAATAATTAGTTACAAGCAGGCTAAAGCATGTATCCTGGCTTTAACCATAGATGGCAAACTCTATGGGCTCATAGAACAAAGCTGGCGTTTACGGACTGCCTTGGGCTCTACTTTGCATTGGATTTGGCCACTATTGACTGGAAACAAATGGGGATATGTATGTCCCTAGCTGGTGAGTGGTGTGCTCTTCATGGGCTCTGGTCTCTTTTGGGTCCCCTGTCAGTGGGCGTCGGAGTGATCGTCATCTCTCATGGTTTCCCCGCCATACCATTTTAAATATTTTCTTTATGTATCAAACCCTCATCAGACTGAATGATTTAAGTGTGAATGTCTCTTTTCTGACTTCACTCTGCCTCTTTGATAACAACAACTACAAGCGACAATGTAAAACTGTGCACAATTATTGCACACTCGGTAGACTGGGGTTCAGCTCCTGTTAAAGAATTATGCAATTTTGCATCAGAGGCTCTCTCATGAGATAGCCACTAACAGCCATACGTACAGAGCCAAATGCACATTCAAGCCTCAAGAGAACACTCCTCCAATTATTTATCTTATTCTTGAGTTAAAAAGTAGACATTGAAACCATCAAGAAGTCACTAGCATTCCTTTAAAATCCCCAAAGTTTACAAACCACCAAAACCACACTCAAAGTTATATACACATAAAGAAGTTTTCCTAAGTGAAGTGTTTATTTTTTAAGTGGCAAAATTACGGAGCACACCCTCCCTCTTCTGCTCTCCTCTGAGTGTTCTCCCTCCTTTCTGTCTCTCTGTGTCCCTGTCTCTATCTCTGGCTCCCTCCCTCTCTCTATCTGCCTATCTATCTATCTGCCTATCTATCTATCTATCTATCTATCTATCTATCTATTATCTATCTATCTATCTATCTATCTATCTATCTATCTATCTATTATCTATCTATTATCTGCCTATCTATCTATCTATCTATTCTCTATCTATCTGCCTATCTATCTATCTATTATCTATCTGCCTATCTATCTATCTATCTATCTATTATCTATCTATCCATCACATGCACGCCTGTGTGTCCACTTGTGTATAAAGGAGAGGTTTAGAATCTAAGCAAGTGTAACAGTTGACAACAGTACTAATAAAAGTTACATAAAGACCTGGACTTGACATGACTTTGCAATCCCTTCCTCTGTAAATGGAAGCAGAGTCATTAACTTGCCTCCAGTCCGAGGGAAAAGCTGAGATCCAGCGAGGGCTATCTATTACCCAACCAGGAAACACATCACTAAAAGCATCCATCTCATAACTGCTTGAGTCTAAGACTTTATAGGCAACAGGACTATAAATGCAGGATACAAACACAAGAGCATTGTGTTTATGGGAACTTTGTGTGATGAGCCAGGACGTGTCCACTGATACCCGTGGTGTTCAGCAAACTGTGAGCACTTGTAGATGCTGCTGAAGAACCCAGGCCAGGGAAGGAGTCAAGGCCACAGCATCACAGGGTACAGAGAGTCCAGTAGCACTTCTACACTAGCTGACTAAGCCACCATAAAAGGAGGCTACAAAGACGGTGCAATATGGCTCCAGGGAATATTACTCACAAAAGACATTGTGTTTATGGATTCTAACTTAATGAAATTCTTCCAGTTCTATTATGGCCTTAACTGCTGAGTGGTGTGAGGTACAGAGTTCTCCAGGATGGTGTTTTTCCAGAGAAGAGGAAGCATTCATGGGGGTGTCACCACAATCACTTCCTGGACTCCAAAACTAGCTCCTCTGCCCTCAGCCTCCTTTTTCACATTTTTTCCCTGATCTCTCAAATTACATCACTCTCTGCAAAAGCAGAAGTCATCTGCTTCTAGTAGAACCCATGCTGAGTGCTACACTTTCATCCTCCTAGCAGACGAGGGCATCTGTAAAGTCAGTCTTCGTATACTGGGGAAAGCTATGTCTCAAATAAGTCGAAGTCAGCACGATGGAAAATGTACAGCGTTTTATGAAACTGGTCACACTGCCCGCCATCCTTCCCCACCTCACTCTCCCAAGCATCCCTGAATCCGGAGGGGTGAACAGAAACACCAGAAAAGAAAACATCTTGTACCAGAGACTGGACAGTGTCTCAGGAAAGCAACACGTTTCTACCTTCAGACCATGTGATGTTCTAGACAGTTCCGCACATGGCATGTAATATATATATATATATATATATATATATATATATAAAATGTCCTCACTTGTGTATCAGCTCAACTGCCCTCTTTTCCATTTTATTTTTTGATATTGCTGATCAAATAAAAAGGATGGGCCAGTAACCCTCATAAAAGACTTTAACAAAATAGGAAAACTTCCTTTTTCAACAGGTCCTTGCACCAATGTAGCCATCTCTCTGGAAGAAAAAATCATTTGCTTTTATTTAGATTGTCACTGATTGTAGAGATGTCTAGATGAACCAAAAGGGAGAAAGAGGGCCTACCAGGAATAAAAACGATACAGGGGACATCACATTTAGATATGGGACCCGTCTACCTTGGGAGCTTCCAAGGCCTGAGGAACCTGCTGCAGTGACCGTGGGTGGCTGGGCCCTTACCTTACCACACTGCTTACATTTTCCATCCTGCCGCCGCCTGTGAACCCAGTGATGACGCACAAAGTTCTGCAAGAAAATGAGGAGAAATGAATAAGTTTTAATCTGAAGCCCTTGGTGTTCACTGTTTGATGTTCTGGACTGTAGATTTCCAAAAGCTGCAATCCAAACCCATAGAAGCACAAAAGCAAACACATGTAGGTGGGACTCATGCAACAGTAAACGTGAGCACACTCGGAATAAAGGAAGCTCCTTCTCCACTTGTGATAATCTTCCGCACTGTGCGTTCCACCGACCCCCTCCTCCAGCCTTGTCTTTCCAGGGCCAAGGGCACAGCAGATGACACTCACTGCATTTTCCTATGAGTAAAGCCCATGCAGAGTTGTGAATGGGTGAAGGATCTTCAGCTGGGAGGTGGCTGTGGCTCATAAAAGAAAAACCCAAAGAGTGGTGAGAATCTGAAGGGGAAGAAGCTGATGGGATAATCTCCAATTCAACTGAATGATGCACACACAGTACTTCAAAGGGCGGGATGTGCCACACTATACTAAACCTTCTAGCTACAAGGAACTGAAAGGATCGTATCCTCAGGAACATTTCCTGATATGGGACATTGATCTGAGAAGCTAGATAAAGTGAAAGAAGAGAAACATCAAAGAAAAGAGGAGCCGAAGACAAGAAGGTTGGCATGTGGATGACAATTGTTGATGTCCCATTCTAAGTCACCTTGACTTAGACCGGCATTCAAGGTTGATTCTTGTCATAGGCTGTAGGAAAGTCTTCCTTCCCAAGTGATGGTCATCACTGGGGTAGACTCAAGCAACTCAGTCTCCTCTGGCTGTTAGAATGCACCACAGGAGGGCGTGTCATCTACAGACTAAAGATGGAGAGAAGCCTTAGCATCCCTTATTCCTCTTACACCAACAATGTAAAGTGCTTCCTTCCCTCTGACTCCTGTCCTTTCCTGGATAAACACACTTTGCCTCATGCTAGCGCGCCTCTTATAGAATTCAGCCACAAACCATATTCTCCCTTTAACAGTACCTTTACTGTATGTTGCCAGCAGATTACCTATTATATAGCATAGACACTGTTCTACATGGAGATAAAGAAAGCAGATCTGTCTAGAGCCACACCACCTTGAACACGCCTAGTAGAGGAAGCTAAGCAGAGACAGGGCTGGTTAATACTTGGATGGGAGAAAATAGACCACTGTGAAAAGAAAGGAGGGAGGGAGAGATAGAGGGGAGGGGGAGGTAGGAAAAGAGGGAGAAAGTAGAAAAAGAAGAGGAGGGGGAAGAGGAAGAGGAAGGGGAGGAGGAGGAGGAGGAGGAGGAGGAGGAGGAGGAGGAGGAGGAGGAGGAGGAGGAGAGGAGAAATGGGAGGAGGAAGGCTGGTTGCTTGTGTCAAGACCTGAGATTCTAGGCAAGACCACCAACAAGCATCTGTACTTTTCATACTAAGATGTCACTTCAATTTCTCCTAATAATGTCAAATCAATTTAAAATAAAGCAAAACATGGTCCCTGGAGGAACAATGGTGCTTTGATGATAGTAAATGATCCCAGGAATCAGTGTGATTTTCATCTTGCTCTTCCTACTGCTGCCATTCAGTAAAACAAAAACTCAATTTTCCGTTGTTCTCAGAAAGAAGTTAATAAGAATAGCTAATCCTTACAAAGTAGTCCTTTACACTTTTAACAATATTTTATATATAGTAATTGTTTTAATCTTCATGAGAATGATAATGGGTAGAGATACATCTTAGTAGGAAGGCACCAGAAAAGTTCCAGAGCTGTTAAATACTGAAATGTCTTAATTTGGGTCAATAATTGTAGTTTAGTGTCCTCACATCCCCTGCCTCCTCTTCTGCTGTTACAGCAATGGCTGCCACACATCCTTCAGTCCTGGAAACACGTCTACCTCCTCATTAGCAAGCAATTAGAATGGAATTGCCTAAGTTATCTAGTATCAAGATCTTCTTCCAATGAGAGATCCTCGGGTTACTGGAACGATCCTAACGATTCTCCCTGAAGAAGTTTGGAGGACTGGGCTGGCACAGATGCCTGCGTAAGCTTCAGCACCCACATGGACAATGGCTGTCTGTGGTTTCCAAGACAGTAACTGCAAGAACGTGCAAAGTTGCTAGTGTTTAGGGATAAGTTCAGTTCGGTGAAAAACCTACATTGACTGGGAACAAAGGTCCTGGTGTACCTAGCTGCTCATTTGGCAGGTGACATTGATGCTGAGCCCTGGGCCTCTTTTAGAGATCAGTACCTCTTTATGAATAAGGACTGGGAAGTACAGGAGTCTCTACTAACTTCAGTATGCCCCATCTCACAATACTGCAGAGTGCTCCCCGCTGAAGATCTGTTTTTACTTACATACAGAGAGGTCACTTAAAATGTAAGCATAAAACCAAAATTACTACTCCCACTGGCTGAGAGCAGACTCTCCTCCCCCTGGGTTTCTGCCTCTGTTCTCTGAAAGATTAGATCCACTACTTCCTCGTGACACTCTAATAAACAATGGCAATGACAGTCAGAAGTCAAAATGTTGAATATCTAAAAATGTCAAATAATAATTAAAAAGCATAGAAACAATTAATATAATAGCTGTTATCTTTGCAAAAACTGAAGGAAAATGAACACCATCACTAATGTTCAGAGAAATTCTCTACTTGGTGAGATTACAAATCACTCAGTGACTATCAATTTAAGGAGAGAAATGTTGGGAGGATTAGGTGCAATTATCTATGAGAAATCACAACTGACTCATGGGATCAGTTAGCTCATGACGGCTCCATTCAAAGGATTAAGCCAATAATTCCCACAAATCAGCAGGGACTTAGAAATGAGGTGGCTGACTCGATCATTTGTACCACAACACAGACCATTTGGCAAGCAGACTTATTGTCCATTTAAGATATAAAACATTGCAACTCTACGGGAAATATTTATGTGACCTTATGTGACTCTACCATTAGACATCACTAAGATTACCCTTCCAATGAGTAGATGGGAACCGAAGAACTGAGAGCACAGATAAAGTAACTGACTAAAACTGTTGTTGCAGGGGAAGCTGACCAAGTTCCTGAAATCTCTATTTGTATGATTTGAGATGCCACACGTCCTTCTGTGGAGAGTTCTTCTTAGGCCTAATATAAACTTATTCTGCAACTAAGTAAATAGTCAATAAATGTTTACCGAACTGAATAGACTCCTCAACCTTATTTATCTGATAATTAAACCATGTGGTTACCACTGGGGAGAAGGAGGACCATCAACTGGCTTCCTCAAAAGAAAAGAAAATCCATTACCATCAAATCACTATTGTTTCTAACCTTTTTTGCCTGAGGACTTTCAATTTTCATGCCATTTTCTTCTGACTGTCATTCATATCTCCTAAATTATTAGACTGAAATCAGATTCTTCACACTCTTTTCTTAGAGAGATTATTCAGAGCTCCTGAATTGTTTGGTTGAAATTAAATGTTTTACATTGTGTTCTTTTGACCATAATTCATATATCTCACATTGGTAAGCTGATATTAGATTTGAGATCCTTACACCGTATATCTTATTGTTGATATATTGTTGTTAAGAAGGCCAATAAAGGCTTCTGAAACATTATCTTTATATTGTCCATCATAGTTTCTGAATTATTTATATACCGTTTCAAGTACTGGGCAAGAAAAAAAAACTATTACTTATGGGTGTTAAAATATCAATGATACATTATTTCAAGGCTTATATTCAGTATTGGGAGCAAAAATATATTATATAATTGTTCGGTTACTTTTAAACACCCAATTCAATTAAAAATATTATTCACTGAATACTTGAAAAAAAATTAGAAATCATAATTCAGTCCAGCGATCATGAGTAAGAAAACCAACCTCACTAAGGCACAAGATAGGAGTCCAACAAATACTCATTAAGAAACTGCCTTACAAAGATAGGACTCGGTGACCAGCAGTCTTGAGTCTCCAGACTCTTACCAATTAGTAAGAAAACAGTGGATGTGGATTTGAGCCCAGCTCAAACAAATTCTAACAGGAATATTCTTTCATTTCATTAAATGATTGACTTCCAGTCCCTTAATTAAGTAACTTGAGGGAGTCATGGTCGCAAGCTTCATCTCCAGAAGCCCTTCATAAACCGCTGACTTAGAAATGAGGTTCTGATTAATTCTGCAAGAAACGGACCTTCTTACAAATGCATCCAAGCAGCAGATACGCATTGATCATTTGGTGGTCCATCTATGTCCTGGCACAGTTATTTGGGGACAAACTCCATGCATAATCCCTAAAGTTTACACTAATGGAGAGAGACACTATCAGAAAAGCCAATGGCAATGTTCATAAATAATTATGACATACAGTATGACCTGAATGAACAGGACAAGGTATTTAGCAAAAATAAGTAAGCTTACTCTTCACAGGGGTCAACAGTGAAGAGCTCTACAATGGCCTGGTGGGTTACCCCAAAATATTCATATGCTGTTATTCTAAACCCAGATATCACTGCCAGGAAAGGAGACCTTCGCCACGTACTTGGGTCAGGAGGATGGAGCCCTCATCAATAGGATTAGTGCCTTATAAGAGGGACTCCAGGGAACCTTTGCTTTCTCTCTTCTATGCAAGGACACAGAAAGCAATAGTCGGAAACCTTCTAGAGTGTTCTCACCAGCACCACACCATGCTACCACTCTGATCTTAGACGCTCCAAAAATGTTAAAAAGAACAAAAAACAAAAAAATAGCCTCTTTACTGATAATGAAACACTCAGTGGTATTTGGTTATAGCAGCCAGGACTGACTAGGATACCCTCTGAGGATATGATGTTTGAACTGAAAAGCTAAAAGATCTTGGAATATTGCTATGGAAAAACGTAAATATCCTAGAGAGAGGAATACCTTGTCCCATGCCTCTGGAAATTAGAGACTGTCTCTTTGGCAGCTGGAAAGACAGACAAGCAAGGTCAGACCACATGGGTCTTTCAGAAGAAAAAAAAATCAGTGGTAAATGTCATGGCCTGATTACTAGTTTTGTTGTTGTTGTTGTTGTTGTTGTTGTTTAAAAAAAACGCTCCTTAAATCATGGGCAAGTAGGAGGAACTAACCGGAAAATCATGGAGAAGCTACCACAGTGATTAGAGTGAGAAATATTCATTCCTTAGTCAAAGTAGCTGACAGCAGACACACAGGTAAATGGACGGATTTGAAATACTTTTATAAATAAAACTGACTGAACTTGTGAACTGACAAATGAATTTGAGGTTGAAAGTAGCGGAGAATCAATATGACACTCCCCCAGTGTCTGCAAATGGACAGCTCATTTTGTAAGGTGAAAATAGATTGCGGAAGAAAGTTTTATGGTCATGATAATAGTTTGGGTTTTTGATCTATTGTATTTCAGACGGCCATGATATAGCAAATGGACATGTCAAATGGAATCTCAAGAATGGAAACTGGGAATAAGTGTAAAGTCAGGAGCTGTCAGCTCTCCTGATGACAGTGGGCAGAGGCTGGAGAATACAGACAAGTGCTAAACCCAGGGGGCCCTGCAGAGATGCAGAGGCTGAGCGAGGGGCACTGAAAGCAGACAGGGATGGCCAAGGAAGCAGGGAGTCCAAAAGAGATGAAAAAGCACCGCTGGGAGTCAAGAAGAATGGATCGCGTGGATGTTTTGAGTATTTCTGAAAGATTGGATGAGGACAGAAAAATACCTACCGAATTTTGTGTGATGATTAGCAACAGTAACAGACACCGCTTCAGAAAGAGGACTAAGTAAACTAGGCAACAGCAGGTTAACATGCCAGAAGATGACATGCTAACAATAATCCAGACGGGTAACGGTTCCTGGAAACTTGGCCTAGAGCACAGAACTGAACATCAGAGCAGCAGCGATAGCACAGTTGGGAGGTAAGGAATGCTAGCCTTTTCCTTTGTGAATTTCAGCTGGAAGCTATTCCAGCACGCTTTTGCTGCTGGGAATATTCTAGGTGTGGCAGGTGGAGGGTGAAAGGCAAGGAAAGAAGAGAGATCCAGTCCTTGGCAAGGCCTTCAGAGAAGGCCGGGTTTGGGAGAAAAGAAATATTACAGCCAATGAAAACAATTTTTGAGACTTGCAAAGGAGACATTTTACATAGGATCATAACTGAGAGAGAGGCCAAGGGAAAGACAGAAAGAGAAGGGCGGGAACCAGTGGCCGGCATATACGCTCTTAGGTCAGAAATTCAGTCCCTCCAGCTTAGGAACACAAAGACGCCCCTGTGACTTTCAGAAGAAAAGCCTCTTCCTTTGAGCAGCCCCTGGGGGAGCTCCCAGCAGCACTGCAGCTCAGGACAGCACCGACAGCACGCACCCCCCTTTAGACACTCCCCTCACCTCTTGCAGTCAAACAGTGGGAGAAACCAACCCATGAGAAGGTTAAAGCGTCCTTTCCCCAGCCCTACCACCTCCCCTCTTAACCTGCTGTCTCTCAGTCTTCTTGTTTTCATCATAATAAACAGTATTCTTCTTTCACCATTTTCCTTTTTTCTTTTCTTTTTTTTTTTTTTTTGAGACATCATCTCACCTATTGTCCAATCTAGCCTCAAACTCCCAGATGCAAGGAATCCTCCTGCCTCTGCCTGTGGGATATCTGATACCACAAGTGTTCCCCACCACGCCTGGCCTATGCGATGTCTTTCTTTCTTCACTGTGTTTCAAATGGCTGTGATCTTCTGTGTGTTCACTCATGTTCCGCCCTACTCTACAAATTTTTCGAGTTTCATAGTACAAAGAGTCTGTCTGCGTTGACCATTCACAGATAGCTTACCATTCTTTTTACAAATGCACCCACACAGATGTGCACCGGGCAAATCCATGTGCGGGCAAAGGGGACGCCGCAATCCTGATGCTTCTACAAGTAAACCCATCGGTTCTCCAGTGCATCCTTGGGCCAGCCTCGTCCTCCAGTCATCTTCTTCCAACAGGAGCTTGGCTTATTCTAAGGACCACTGCTTTCCCATCCAAAATGCATCCTTTACTAAATTCTACCAATTTGTCTTCTTTAGATTCATCTCACCACACCATGTTTCTCTTAGTTCAGATGTAATCATTTCTTAACCAGTCTACAGCAGGAGCTACTCAGACTGTCTTTATGTCCCCAGTAGTATGACCCCTTAACTATGTGATGTTTCCTTCACACTGCAGTTAGGATAATATGTTCTGCTTAAACAGAGTAACATCTACTTCCACATCCCTGGTGACTGTTCGCCTGGCTTCCAGGGACTGGCCTTGTCTATCTCTCACTCATCTCCCACATCACACACCTTCCTAACATCTCTCATCTCTGCTTGTGTGCTGCTGTGCTTTCTGTCTAGAAGTCTGTCACTCTGTGTCTATCGCGTCCCACCCCTTGCCCTAGATAGCTCCTGAGAGAATCGACCAGTGCCCATGTCTTCCAGGAAGTCCTTCATTTGACCGATTGGCCCTCCCTCTCTCGTGGTTACACAGAGCTGATTTGAGGAGTACAATGGCTGGGAAGGTTTCCAAGGGGTGACTCTCTAAGTGGAACTGAAACTTGTCTCACTGGGTATGCAAATAGACCAGAGGAAGCACACTTACTAAGAATTCTTATTCTTAAAAAGAAAATAGAAGCCAACAGTGTTTGGGAGAGAGTGGACAGCACTGGGACACACCGCACTGCCTGCTAAGGAGGGAGGGTTCTGTAACCTGAAAGGTTTTGCTCTGTGGATTAGAGAGTACAATTTGGAAACCTGAAAGTTTTTGCTCTGTGGATTAGAGAGTACAATTTGGAGTTTGGGCCTAGAGTGTCTAGAATAGTATGGACAAAAGCGCTGTCTCTCGCGCGCGCGCACGCGCGCGCACACACACACACACACACACACACATATTCCTCCCACTTTCTCTGAACTGCAGTAGCTGTCTCCTCCACACAAAGGCAGAAGAAGCAGTCCTATGTCCAGGCTCTCTCCTCCCCTCAGAATCCCATCATCAAACAAACTGCTCTCGGTTCCAGTCTGTCTGTACCAAACCTAACTTTCTCCTGTGACGGATGTGTGTGTTGCTTTCACAGGTAAAGGGAGTGGTAGACGCAGAATAGGTAAGCTGCCCTGAGTCACACAGCTTTCAGGCTGGCTCTAAAAGCAGCCCGACTGCAGCATGAACGTGGGTAACCAGTAACTTTGCTGTCCCTTACCCCCAGAATAGCTTAGACCCATCCCCAAGAGAAATCGGCCAGAAGGACAGGATTTTGTTTTCTCTATCCCTTGAGTTCCTCCATTCTCCCATCCCCACGTTTCTGTTTCATTCATTAAGACCTTGGCTCCTAAACACACTCCACTGGCAGGATGAAGCGCAGTGTGCTGAAGGGACTCGGCATGTCGTTGCGCTTATTGGCATATTAGGAAGAAACTACTGTGTAGCTGAAGAAGGAAGAACTAATTTGTCAGCCCTGGGTGAATACCTGGGGTTCTTTATACCCACAAGAACTCAAAATGCTTTTTTAAACAACTCATAAAACTCACTTCTCTTGGTGATCTGGAGCCTCCTTCCCGAAATGTTGGCTTACATCTGAAATTAATCTGCCATTTAAAAAAAAAAAAAGCACATCATGTTAGTGATTGACATCATGTTAAAGAGAATTACCTGAAACCCAAAACAACCAATATCAGTAGACATTGAGACTATATAACAAAGCCCGCAAAGGATAAGCAATCTGTTTTAGTTTAGTCTCCTTAAAGCATCTCACTGGATAACATGCATTGGTGCGGAGTGATTTCACATCTCCAGCCAGTGGTCCTGAGTTCTCACTGATGAAGTCTAACTTTAAACTAAAATGCCCTTAGCCTGTAAACTTGAGAAAGAGCCAGAGAAAAAGCCAGAGAAAAAACATGTGACAGCTGAACCCATCCGTTTGAGTTAGATTTTTAAAAGGAGAAACTATAAACCCCAGCGGTCCTAATTGCTGTGATAACCACTCAAACGCGTGCACAGTCAGTCCCTGCAAAGGACTCAGCATGGCCTTGTTTTGCGGATGGGAGATGCCCTCATGGCCACTTTCGCTTCTGTATAAAGGGTGGAGACAAGAAGGGGTAGATTCAAAGTGCTGGGCAGGGCTCTAAGATATAAGCTGATGGCAGCTGGAGGGGCTGGCGGAGCTAAGCAGACACTGCGCAAAGCTAAAAGCTCCCCACTGCGTTTACAAGCGGCAGCAGGAGAATATGGACACTGCCAAGGGTCTCCCTGGACACAGAGTAAGAACTCTAAGTGAAAGCAGCAGGCAACACTCTACTACAGATCTTCCCTCCCCACCCCGCCCCCAGCTGATAAATAAATAGACTATTCAGAATCCACTTCTGGAGACAAGACACCACCCTTGGGATGCCACTTCCAGCTCAAACACGCATTTATGCCGCACCAGCAGAAAACGCTGCCCATGAGGTCTGCGGCCGAGTCTGAGGGCTGCGTTCAGCTGGCTCGGCTCTCTCCGTTAGAGCTACTTTAGGAAGATGTGAACTCACAAAGAGAAACATACGGTAGCTACAATATTAAAAAGCTTATTGCGTTTTTTCCCCCTTAAAGGAAACATCTTGTGGGAAAAGAGAAAAAGAATTGGTGTGTGCTAGGCTTTCTCAAAAGCCAACACAACATAATACAAATTAAACTCGGGGAGACAACAGAATTAATGGTCTTCATATAGTGCCTTTTCGTTGTTACTTTGGTAGTCATACTGAACTCACAATTTTTGTTTTTATTTTTTTAAAGCCGTTGTTTTTAAAGTTAGAAATTGACACCAAATCTCGACAAGTCGTGGCAGTGAATACATTCGCCAGCAGGTGGCGCTCTCTTACCTTCTCTAGTTGCTCAATGCAGGCAGTGTGGACCACGATTTTGCAGACCGCACACTTCCTCCGGAGAGCGGATTTCTGCAACAGTCAATTCAAAATACAGGAAAGATACGTTAGCGAGTGATTCTGGAGACTTCCCTGGTATGAAAGAGAGGCTCCGGAAATCAAGCAACACTGCAATGACTTCTGTCCCTTAGCAAATTGAAAAATCTCTAAACATGTCAGAGTGACCCAGATGACTTCTTCCAAATGACAACAATAATAGCATTGCAAATAGGGCTTGTAATATAAGCCAAGCCCTTTACTCGGCCACATCGTTTTTCAGTGGTGCAGCTGAACAACAAAAACATTGCCCTCAAGATTTTCTAACTTTTCTACACTTTTTATTAAAAAATTTCCTTTGCACCGTTGAGGGACAAGAGGCAACCTTCTTACTTATGTCTTATAGGAATCAAGCATTCCATCCTTACTATCATCAGAGGCTAAATTTCAAAGACTGGCTGCTTTAAGTTTCTGTTCTAGACACAAATCTTTGCTGTGCTATTTGGGTCTCTACCCATGTCTTCAGGAGGGCGATTACAAGTCTGGCTTCACACCCAGGAAACAACAACAACAATAAAGAGCAACAAAGACAGCAGGAGGCGCTGGTAAGACTATAGGTCTTGCTCTGTTCTCATGGGCACTTCACAGATGATAACTCGCTTAACTCTTGCAGCCCTATGAAGTAGAGACAGCCCCACCCCTGCTTCACAGATGAGAAAACCCACACACATTGAGTGACCTGTCCAAGGCCTGCCAATGAGGCCACAGCATACCCAATCTGTCTGGCTCCTAAGTATCATAAAATGTAGCCTTGATAACCTTGGAAATGTATAAATTCACAGTGTGAAGCTTGTCAGGGTCTAGCTTGTCTCCAACAATTTAAAACCCAAATGTGGTGCAAATAGAGAGATGACTGAGTGTTATTCCTGCCAGCATCACCTGGAGGCGCTGCTAGGGATACACATGGCCTCTATACAAGGTCAGGCCCAATGGAAGAGCTGCCTTCATGATTCTGTTGAGTGGTAGTAACCAAGGCGACAGGAAATGCACTATGTTATGTGTAAAGATCTTAGACACTCTAAATACTGTAAATATTTACTTTACCCAACAGGTCATCTTTAAACCAGTGTTCCCTTCCCCAAGATGATGAACTGGAATCAAGTCATTAACACAGCACTTGACGGGTTAGTTGTTATTCTTCATGTTAAGACATGGTTGTTTTTGAACTCAGTACAAAGATAGATAAATAGATGATAGATAGATAGATAGATAGATAGATAGATAGATAGATAGATAGATAGACAGATGATAGATAGATAGATAGATAGATAGATAGATAGATAGATAGATAGATAATTTTAAAACTAAATATTATTACCTGAGACCACAAATATATTCTGAGCACGGAAACTCACAATAACAGGAGACTCCAAAGAACCCAGGTGGGTAAGGCTGGGCATCCCTGTACATCTGGAAAGTATCATTGTAGATTGATGGTAACCTGTGTCTGCTGAACGGCTTGCTGAGGAAGGACAGTGAAGCCAAGTGGAGCAGGCAGGTCAGAAACTCACCCAACACTGCTGCTGTGGAGAAAGGGCCCTGTAGGGATGGATTGCAGGCAGCCCTGGGGATGCTGGGAGAGGCAGATGGAAAGAAATGATGGGACCATAGGAGATGGTCCCATCATTCAACAACACTGGACACGAGCCTTTGTAGACAGCAGTGACAACTGTGTCACCAGCTACCACTAAATGCACAAAATAGTACAGCAATGATTGTGGACGCTAAGCGTGTGACCCCCTCTTGGCTTTGATCTTCCTAATATGAGGTAGAACAATAAGTATGTTTGGCAATTAATTGATTGTTCCAGTATCAAAGAATAAGGGAAACCAAGACACCTAAGGATGTTGTTGAAAGTGTCTTGTTCTAGAACCAAAAACAGAAGGAGGAATAGGGAGGGAGGGGAGGAAGAGGAGGAGAAATACACACAGCCGCTGAGAGGAAGGATACAAAACAGTAGTAGCAGCAATCATAGCCGAAGCAATGGTAGGTAGTCACAAAAACAGCAGCACCAGTAACCAAATTTGACTGCAAATTTTTATAACTAGATTGCTCATAAGCAAATAGCCGCTGCTCCCTCCTCCCTATGGCTACCCTGGTCAGATCTCTGCAAGAGCAGCACCTGCAGGAAGTGCGTGTGATATTTCAGTCAGATTGCTAATGAGAGTTACCAGGAAGCTAAGGAAACTGGAGTTGATCCTTGTCCATGTGCCCCACCCCAGCCCACCATCCTTAACAGATTACACGTGCCAGGCATCGCTACTCAAGATGGGCTAACCTTTATGGAGTCATGATCTCACAGAGCCTGGAAGGCATCTTCTCTCTCAGTGACTCCTACCTCCTTCTGTGCCCTGCTGTCCTCTTGGTGGTGACGTGACGTTCTTATCTGTTTGCAGATAGACTACATCCTCTTATCTCTACGTACTACATGTTGTGTTCTTGTCTTCTCTCTTAAGTGCTATTCCGACTGTGCCTGTCGATCACCTGGTCATTAGTCTACCTCTCAGGAAAAGAGATTCATCTGCACACATGATAAGGAGATGGGAGGAATAATTACCCCTTTAACGAGAGAATGTGCTTCTCGGAAACCTCTCCTCTATACAGCTACTTGCCACACGATGCACTGCTAAGCCCATGCACTTTCCTGAGTTCCAAAAATGTTTCTTTACTTTCTGTCTTTTTCAGATCCTGTCCAGAAATACATACATGCTTTCTCTAATACTCTGGGTTTTCTTTCTCTAAATCCCACACTACTTCCCCCACGCAGCTGCTTGCTGACCTCCTCTGCAAAGCAGGCTGGTTTTCTTCCACCTAAAAGGCATGGTTTCCTCTCTTCCTATCCATCTCCCTCCTCCCGGCGGTTGCCACGGTTTACAGTTGGCTTGTCCTACGGTTTTCCCATAGATTCTAATAAAACTGTCCTCCAGCTTTCTTTCAATTCCATTTCTACTTTTTATTTTATTTTAATGAGGCTAATTCAATGCTCATACAAAGAAAGCCTGACTTTTCCCCAGCAGTATGTGGAGGTTAGGAAGGAAGAGCCCTGAATGGACTCAGGAAATCGTGTGTACTCACTGAAACCAGGGCCCACACTTCCTCCTCTCCTTGCTTTTCATGTCACAATGCTGTATCAAAATCATGTCTAGGACAAGGAATCTGGTTTATGTTGGGAGGCCCTGCTGGTCAGAGGTTGCAGTCTACCGTGACCTGGCAGCTCTGTCTCCAGGCTAGGCATCATGGAGGACTCCTTCCCAGTGGAGGGCTTCCTGCTCTCTCTCTCTCTCTCTCTCTCTCTCTCTCTCTCTCTCTCTCTCTCTCTCTCTCTCTCTCACACTTTATTTGGAGAATGCCTCTAGGCCTGGATACCTAGCTTATCTCTAGTGTGACCCTTGACACAGTTCCCTGCAGAGGCTTTTCCCATGCCTCCCATATGATAATTAGACATTATGCTAGAAGCTCTATGATAAACCAGGCTTCTACATAGGTAGCTAGGGCTAGTACTAGGAGCTTTATGATAGGAACGTGATGTTTAATGCAAATCAGGTGTTGCCCCAGCTACTGGACCCATCCTTTGAATCTCCCCACACTCTGGAATAATTTGAGCTGTCTCCCCAAGGCCATTTCCACCCTATTCACAGGCCACACGGAGCTCTCTGTCGCCACTTCTGCCCCTTTGTCCTGGCAGACTGGTGGTCAGCAGACCAGGAGGTCAAAGGAAACCTCACAGCTGACAAGAGTATAAGAGCCACGGGGCTAATATATATCCTCTCCCAGCTTTCTGGGTTATGCAAATGCACTAATATCATTCATCTCAATTAATTCAAGCATGAAAGTCTACGGATGACAACACACAACTTAAAGTGCTGTAAGTCCTAAAGCTAATCTTATTTAAATCGTATAGAGTTTTTAAAGACCTTCTTAAAATGTATTGCATACTTCTGGGTCTTTTGATGCAGAATACCCAAGCCACAGTCTGAACGCCCATTCATGACCGCTGCCACATGCGTCATACGACCAAGACGAATCAGCCCATTTGCCTTGTTCTCTGACCAGAGCTCCTTAAACCACGGCTCCTGGCACAGCTAGCTTCCTAACTGACAGCTCCCGAACAGCTTGTAGTCTGTAAAATCAGGTAGTTGATGTTTCCAGCCCTGGTGGTTGCTCTTCATTATCGTCTTGATGGGATTTAGGATGAGCCCGGGAGATGCACCACTGGGGCGTGTCTGTGAGGATGTCTACAGAAAGATCAACCGATGTGGGATCAACAATGCGCAGCACCTTCCTTAGACAGCATGGGGCAAGGGCAGAGTTGCTCGCTTGCCTGCCTGTACCTTTTCCTTCCAGAATGCACGTTACCTGAGTTGCTGCCACCATCCTCTTTTGACTTCAGATTCCGGCTTCTTTAACCTGCTTATGTAGACAGCACAGTGATTCTCCAGGAATTTCTAGGTCTCTGCATTGGGAACTGTGCAGCCATCGGGTAGAACATCCATCTAGGCAACCAGGGTCATACTACCTACCCCATGATGTGAGCCGATCTAATAAGTCTCCTTCCTTAATATACATACGAGACAAGACAAGAATATCCAGTGTATACACATGCACACACATGCATGGACACACATACACACACAATCTATTGGTGCTGTTCCTCTAGAGAACCCTGCCTGAAACAATAATCATATACAAAGTGAAGTCAGTAAGTTCTCACTGACAGCCAAGGTCTCTTTCCACAGCGGTAAGAACATGGTGTTATTTCCTCCACTGGCAGAAGCTGTTTCAGAGAACCCAATATGTTCACTGGTAACTTCTTGGTTTATGTGTTAGACTTTTTCAGACCCAATATCTGAGATAAACAGCTTAAAGCAGAAAAATTTTACATTGCTCCATGGCTTCAGAGATTCCATCCCATGGTCCCATTTCAGGGGCTTTTGTGGAGGCAGTACATCATGGCGGGGAGACTTGGTGGGACACCG